TTTTTTTATTATACATTAAATTGGTAAATGGACCATATAGTGACACTTTAAACTATATTATTCTCACCTCAAATGATCCTAAAACGTACTTTTATTGAACAACAGCGAAAGAAAATAGAACTTTTAACCTTCCAGTGCGTCAACCTGGACAAGTCTGCTATGATGCATACTCGGTAAATAGGGAGGGGCGAGAACAACATCCGGGGACTTTATCTGTTCTCGGTCTTCGCATTCTTGTGAACTGGAATAGTACTAGGGCTGAGGTTGATGACCTTTCACAAGCACATGAGAACACACAAGTACACATATTGAGAAACGGTGGCCTTAGAGATCCCAATTAACCTAACAGTCATGTTTTTGGACTGTGGGAGGAAGCTGGAGTACCTGGAGAGAACCCATATATGCACAAGGAGAACATGCAAACTGTATGCAGAAAGACCCCAGGCCGGAAATTGAACTCAGAACCTTCTTGCTGCTGCGCAGTGCTACCAACTATTCCCTAATACAGCCCCCCATACATAGTTTAAGTGAACAAATTTTATGGCGCACTTCACAAAATGTACTTTATTAGGGATAGAATAATTAATTGGGGTTAATCATTGAATGAATCAACTAATTTGTTAAAGAAATTCAGTGGTTGTACACAGATTGTAGATTATACCATTTCATAAAATAAGAATAACCCACTTAGAGGAGTGATTAGAACAAAAGATCAACAGCGAATCAAACATCTTCCATTTAAGATACAATATAAAGTTACACACACATGCCTATGTCTATATTATTTGGAATGCAAGCAGAGGATTTTTGTTTCCAAAGTCTAAAAAATGTTTTCATCTAAAAACGTTAACTTACAGAGTAAAGAGTTTCTCTTTTTGATTATTTGATTAATCAGATAAATAATCAATGGATGAATCAACCACTAAAACAATTATTAGCTACAACCTTAAACATTTTGAAAGGAATGTAGAGGAAGCCAATAATTGCAAAAGAAAACCTATCAGACTTGTTGTTTAATGTTTGCCCCACATCAGCTGAACATGTGAAAGAAGCTGCTTTGTTGGTGGCAGCATCAAGCTGTAGGGAGGCTTTAATAAGAAGGTAAAGGGAACCCAGTCAGAGCTGATGGGAATATAGGGTAAATACAGAGCAATACATGGAAAAGGTTTCAAAAAATCTCAAACTGAGTAGAAAGTGTAGCCTGGTTAACTAGCCCCACCGGCCGGAGACCAAAATCAATTTTGCCTGCGATTTTGGTCTAGCCTGATCAATGCCCCAGGCCCTAGAACTGAGAAATTACTTCTCTGCATTTAACCCATCCCCTTGGGGAGCAGTGGCCTGCCATTGTGCAGGGTTAAGGGTCTTGCTCAGGGACCCAGAGTGACAGTTTCTGGGAGTGGGGGACCGAACTCACAACATCAGGATTTAAAACCCTATGCCCTAACCAATAGGCACAGACATGGTTTGAAAAACAATGGGTTGTTCTCATAAACAATCTCCCAAAGTCTCATTCATCGGGGCCAGACTAAATTACAGATTTAATCTAACATTTAGTCTGGTTTATCAGGCTATAGAAAGTGCACCTTTCAGGACAGTAATCCTAAATCTAAGGCAGAGCAATAAATTGAAGGGTTCCTGGGAATCCCGCAGTTCAGAATGACATCAGTTTACAATATTTTGCTCTTAGATGCATGCTCTTTGCAGATAAAATATGCAATACCATTAGCTGAAAACATCCTGCATGTTATATTTTCATGGTTTTTAATACTTTACAAGCATGTTACAGAGTTAGGATTTAACTGCATGTTGAATTCAGGTCAAATCCCAGAAAGGATGATTGCAATAAGAGTCTGCTTTTTTTCTTTTTTTAAGTTGGTTTCTGTGGATAATCGGTGTAAATTTGTGTTCATAGACACTCTTTATCCAATCTGATTGAGCTTTAATCATTTGTTAGTAAAAAATTATCATATATTTCTGAGTGGCTTGTAGAAACATATTCTAAAGATGTGCATTCTCAACAAATGATGCTGCTGCAGTATTTACTGACTCAGGAGGGCTAAAATGTTCTTCATTCTTAAAGTAAAAATTAACCAATGTGAGTTTTTAAAGGCCAATACAGATACCGATTATTTTGATACCACTCAAATTGGGGATGTGGGAAATAATCGTTTTGGTGAAATATCGTGATTTTTGGATGCCAGATATAATATCGATATTTCAGTATCTAGTATCGATTTTTTTAAAACAAACATTTTTTTACTTAAAACAATGAGGGAAAATGGGATATCTGCACCGCCATTCTGGCAGCTAGTGCTTTGGATCCCTATTGCTGTGCAGTGCAGCATCGTATCTGTAGTTGAGGTAGTCAAAGTGGAAGACGTTGACTGACTCAAACCCCAAAAAACATGGATACTAAAAAAATTACATGATCAATAACTTCTGATGAACATATACAGCACTCGCTTTTGTATCTACAAATGTAACTTTGACAACAGGTAAAATTATTGCAATATATAATGATTTTATAGTATCACGATAATATCGTATCGTGCCCCAAATATCGCGACACATATCGTATCGCATCACCAATGCCATGTCTAACAGAGCCCAGATTTGTAATATTATTTGGACCAATTCATATGAGCCAACATATCTTGAGTGTAACAGAATTTCATATTTTATCAATCATAAACAAAAAGCAATCTATTTAGTCTATTGTTTACTTTATGTAATTCATTTCAACCACACTCATCTGCAACAACACTGGGCTCCCCCTAGGGGTTCTTCACCCCATTTAGAGAACTAGTTCACTATGAACCGGTGTAGGTACCACATCTGCTCAGGTGGTCAGATTTGCTCGGGTCCTGCGCATGCCAGCGACGTTACGCTAAATGATTGGCTGAACGTTGCCACATAATCAAAAACATAGCGGTTGCCCAGATAACGATAATAACATCGTTCAGCGTCCGTTAACGTGTCTAATGACCGACCAAGTTTTACCTGATCGATAACAAAATGGAAAAATGTGTTTATGGTGAACAAAGTAACTGTTAGACCATGGTATAAAGGAGGAGAGCTGGGTAGCCCTGTGGCTAGCTGTGCTCAGTAGCTAACAGGTTAGCCTCTTTTAGCTCGGTCAGTTAGCCATATTAAACTACACTACTTTTGAATTCGTATCAACAACAACCGTTTGTTTTCTACTAGTAGAAAACTTGTTATTTTCTTCGTCTAAAATCTCTACTGTACAAAAGCCTTTTTTAAGGATGTTCCTTTTGTCCTCCTCAGCCCTCAGATCTTAATAAAAAGAATAAAAATAAACTGAGACTTTTTGTGTCACCTTGTTGAATGGCAAAGTCTTAGAAGGCAGTACTTTCCTTCAAGACTGACTGATTTCTATTTTCGGCTACTTTAGATCACCAATGAAATGTAAGATAATTGCAAATATTGGTAATAATATGTTGAAACTCCAAAAGACATTTGATCCTTAAAAAACGGGTTCAATACAGTTTGTCCGAGTGGAGTTGCCATATAATGACATCATAAGAAGGGGCAGATCTGGTACCTACACCGTCCGACATATTCATGCATTGGCTGATAGAGATAGAAGAAAAAAAAAATCAGCCATCATATGTGTCGATCTATCTCTGCTTAAAATATAAAGTATGTGTGAAACATTTTAAAATATACAGTATGTGCATGTGTACAATTATGTGCTACTTTGCATTTTTCTCTCAAAAAAAAGTGCCAAAATGTGGGAGAACCTTAACAAGGTGTGAATACTTTTGCAGAGCATTTAAATTCAGCTACATGTGTTCTGTTTTAAAGGATAGTTCCTCCACACTGTTATTTGATGCATCTTTTATCTCAGGTTGTTCTTTCCAGGCAGCATCTGCTTGCCGTCACTATCACTCTGTCTCCACTCACACATCTGCACTCGATCTCCCACTTGCTTCTCTACTGTTAGTTCCTCCGTGGCTTCCTCTAATGACCTGTCTGCCTCTTCTCATTACATCTCAGTGTGGTCAGCGCTGACTGTTGTTTTAGGTCATTCTCTCCTCTCACACGAACACTAATTCACACACACTTCTCTCTCAAAGAGGGAGAGGATGACCTCCTGGCACCCTGTGGATCTACTCTGAGTATTTATATAATTTCTTGGATTACATTAATGTATGGAGTGATTTTTGTTCCACTTGTGTTGAAAAGAACATGTTTTGTAAATAGAAATGTAAAGATATGAAACTCCTTAATCAAAAGAAGGCTTAACATTTAACTTGTTTTCTCAGATTTTGTTTTTTAAATTCATCTCAATTTTTTTTTTTTTTTGTATTTTATTGTTTAATAATTCAAGATTGTATACTTACAATTTGTATTATTTAAAATTTCTCTTTTTCATATTGTTTTACTAATTGAAATCACATCGCTTCACACCCTTGCCATTGACCAATGAAAATGTTGACGCTAACATCCGTGCAGACCAATAGAAATGCGTCTCAGCGCTCACTCCAAAGCAAGCCCCGCCCCCAGAATTGAGGAGAATCTGATCTGTAAAATGCAATTAGGAGGAAATAAAATTCCCAAAACTCAATCTGAGAAAGATACATTTGAAAAATAAAATCTGAACATTTTAAATGTGTATAGGAGTTTTATAAAGAATAGAATTTAAAAGACAACACAATTCGGAAAAACAAATTGATGAAATTGTGTAAAAAAAGTGTTAAAAAAATAAAATCACAAAAAAGTAAAAAAGAATGATTGGAAAAAAATTAATTTAAAGAAATAGCAAAGTTACTCTCAAAAATAATAATTAGAATTTATTTTTGAGTTATTTCAAGATAGCATTTTTTTTTCAATATTTAATTTACAAAACACGTTCTTTACCTGCAGAAATAACGGAACAAAGTTTCCGCCATATTTATGCAGCTTTAACTTTACTTAAAATAAATATTTTAGCATAGTTTTTACATCCAAATGATTAAATCAATAGAACGAACTCTTACCGTGAGGGTAGGGATTGCTGTGACGAGCGAGTAGATGAGCACAGGGGGGACTTTGCTGGTGTCCTCTGGACCCGGGTAGGGCTTAGAGAAGCTCTTATCATAGCAGAAGAAGCCCTGGATGTGCACAGGGAAGGTGTCCGTGTACTCAAAGTAGTAAGCCAGCAGCACCGTCCCAGCCATGATCACCAGCTGGAAATAGAACATTATCCCGGCGTTAGGAAGTCGGAGAATGAGAGGCAAAGCAGGAGAGGAGGAGGATGGGTAGAGGAAGAGGGGAGAAATGAGTCTCTGCTCCCCTCAGTTACAGGGAGAAGATGCATAGGGAGCACAGACCCAGAGGGAGGCAGAGCGAGAGAGTCTGTGCTTGGATCCGAGGCAGAGAGGGTGAAAAAGAAGTAGGACACCTTTTCTCTTCATGGAAAGCTAAACAAAAAGAAAACATTACAGAAAAAGGGGGGTGCAGCAGAAAATAAAGCACGGCAAACAAGACAGCGACTGATCGAGATGGACAGAAAAGAATAGAGGTAGGAAAGAGAGGTAGGGGGAGCAGCCTTTATTCTGCTGGCACTCATGAAACCTACTACAGTTGAGCTGTGGGTGTATTCAGAGAAACAGTGCGTGTGTTTGTGTGCAGAACACAAATGTGTGGCAAGAGCTCGGTGCTTGGTAGCAAAGTATGTTTCTGCAGACACGTGCTCAAAAAGCATCAGCTGATGTCTCTTCTGAAGTCGTCATAAAATACTTCTGCTGGCACCAGGCTTTCTGGGGAGCGCATGCAGTGGGAGACACCTTCACTTCCAAAACTTGTTAAACCAAACAATACTGAGAGTTACGCTGTGAGTTAAAATGCACTTTCCCTTATTTCTCTTTTTGGCCTTTTGTTAGATCACAACCAGGGGCGGATGTAGAAAAATATTTATGGGGTGGCGAGGGGGGGCAGGAATTTTTGAGGGGTGGCAACATATGGCATTTGTTTAAACTGAATTTAATCACAGTTATCACAGTTTGGTGAGAAGCCATAAATCTATTTATGGTCTGTTTTTTTGTTGTTGTTGACTATGTTCTTTATTGGTGGGTAGGAAGGGAAAGAGTCTGTTATAATCAGCTGATTTCTTCTAAAGCACTTTCTATGGCACATAGCTTTATAAAAAGCACTAATAAGCCCTATTAAGCTAAATCAACCAGAGTTTGTTTCCCCCTCTTGGTTCTGATCTTTTGTGCAGGTCTGATTTAAGCCCAGCAAAATCTGGCCC